GTTCTGGGTTCTGGGTTCTTGTCCGGCTGGAGAGCCGCTGAAACTCGGATGTTCCCCCTTATACTGACAGTCCTTTATGGGGATTATCTATCAAGGACTGTTCACATAAGGGGCAACATCCCAACCTTAAACCTCAAAAGCAGCGAAGCAGATGTCCCGAAACCCTTGCAGAAGTTCACCGTCTAGACTCTATACCCTAAACCCTAAAACCCTGACGCCCCAAAATAGGTCAGCTTTGACACGGAGGAGGCTTATGCCTAAGTTAATTACCTCCCAGGCCCCCCCCCCCCCTCTCCCTACAGTCGCCCCGAATCAGGAGTGGCCAGTTTTGGGATTTAGGGCTAGGGTTTAGGGGTGTTCTGAGCTGTCCGGCGGAAGCAAAGTCAGGTGGAAAAAGAGGTGGTGCAAAAAGTTCTGGGATGGACCCGTCCTGGGCGGGTGCAGGATGCGCAGCTTAGGCCACGGGGTTCAGGGGCTTAGGGTTTAGGGTTTAGGGTTTAGGGTTTAGGGTTTAGGGTTTAGGGTTCAGGATTTGGGGTTTAGGGTTTAGGGTTTAGGAGGTTCAGGGGCTTTAGAGCTTGAACCCCTGACCTCTGAACGCTGAATCCTACACCCTACCCTAAATCTCTAAACTTCAAACTCTTGAACCCCAATGAACGAAACTTCTTAAGGCTCCCATACCATGGTCCAAGCTGGTAAGAAGAGGAGAGAAGCCTAGGGGGGCCAATGGACTCCCCCGGCAATCACCCAGGACTGCGCGCTCTTTAGGGAAAGTGCGGCCTATCCCCCCTCTCCCGCCCCACCCCCCGACTGCCGGTGACAAGCATTTGGCTTGTCCATGGTTCCCCCAAAAGGCGGCTTGGGTCCAGGCTCCTTGAAACAGGGCTGAGGGTTTGGGGGCCGGGTCTGTTTTAGGATTTAGGGTGCTAGGGGTGGGGGGCTCTTCAGGGATATGTAGGGGCTAGATTTCTCTGGGCGCCTGGCCCAGGAGATTTGCACGTTCACTGCTTCCCGGCTTGAGCACACCGAGCAGCAGGAGCGCAGGGGCGTGGAAGGTTTCGCGCGTTTGGGAGCTCACAGTTTAGGATTGCTCAGGGCTCAGGGGATACCCAGGCTTTTTTATAGGAATTCAATGATCAAAAAAGAAGCAGAGGATGGGCTAGAGTGATTTTCCTGCTGCCGTTTTTTTGTTGAGGCTGCCATCTACCAAGGGCGACTGTAAACATCCTAGGTTCAGGGGCCAACTTTGAAATTCAGGTAAACCCTGAGCCCTAACCCTAAACCCTAAGCCCTCAACCCTAAACCCCGAACCAAGGGTTTAGGAGATTTTGAGGAAAGTCAGGGCTTGGGAGCTTTTTTAGGGATTGAGGCTGACAGAGGCTTTTGGGGGTCGGTCGGGTGTCTTCAATCCCAAGCTCAAACAGTCCCAAACCCTAAACCCTAAACCCTAAACCCTAAACCCTAAACCCTCAACCGAAGCTCGAAGGTTGAGGGCTTAGGGTTGAAACTCGCACTCTCCCCGCGACTTCTCCAAGGGAGGCAAGGTTGCAATGCTCGGGCTTGCGTTTAGGGTTTAGGGTTTAGGGTTTAGGGTTTAGGGTTTAGGGTTTAGGGTTTAGGGTTTAGGGTTTAGGGTTTAGGGTTTAGGGTTTAGGGTTTAGGGTTTAGGGTTTAGGGTTTAGGGTTTAGGGTTTAGGGTTTACGGTTTACGGTTTAGGGTGCCTGTGGAGCCCCTTTGAAGACAGCTTGGGGTTTAGGGTTTAGGGTTTACGGGTTTAGGGCTCAGGGTTTAGGATTTAGGATTTAGGATTTAGGGTCCGCCCTTTTGAAGAAAAGCTCAGCAGTCTGGTCTCGGGTTTCGGGTGGAAGCATTCGGGGCTTCGAGGTTTCGGGTCAGGGCTTTTAAAGATGTAGCGAGCTTGGGGCTTGAGGATTGCGGGTTCCAGGTTTCTGGCATCAGGGTTTAAGGTTTACCTGGGACCCTATTTTCCTACGAAACCCTAAACCCTAAACCCTAAACCTAAACCCTAAACCCTATATAAACCCTAAACCCTAAACCCCACACCTGCACAGCTCCTGTTTTTGCTTTGCTGACGGCCGCCACGCGAGTCAGGATTCCGTCGTGCGAGGGGTGGACATGGGTCGCGCCCACGCCGCTGTAGCCCCTGGGATGAGGTGGTTTCGGGATACGGGTTTGGGGCACCCTAAACCCTAAAAGAACCCTAAACCCTGAACCCTAAACCCTGAACCATAAACCCGACACCTACAAACCCTACACCCTATAAACCCTAAAACTCTGAACCCAGGTGCCAGCATGGCAGCCCGGGAACTCAAGGCTTTGACCAAAACCGGCGAGGCCCTCAAAGGAACCCTACACCCGTAACCCTACATCTTAGGATGTGGGTCACTGCTCCAACGCTTCGAGGTGTCGGAGAGACGCGTCGCTAAGTTTAGGATTTATGGTTTAAGGGTCCCCTGCGGGGTGAGGGCGGGTGTGTCGGCAATGGGTGCCTCTGTGTTTGGGTTTTGCGCAAGGTCTCCCGATGTTTCTCCCGATGTTTCGCTAGGGATCGCATCCCCTTCCTTAGCCTTTTCAAGTCCACAACCCTAAGAACCTCAGAGCCCGAAACCGTGAAGTCTTCAACCCTCAACCCCTAAACTCTCACAACCCTAAGAACCTCAGAGCCCGAAACCGTGAAGTCTTCAACCCTCAACTCCTAAACTCTCAACTGCCCGAAGACTCCAAACCCTAGCACCACTCGATCGTCACACTTGAGTGTCGGACCCGGGTCATGTACAAGCACGACGATAACTCAATCAACGCCTCTTGTCATGGTGCAGGGTCTACTTGGCTGTTCGTGGGTACTTATAACCCTAATCATATCAGTCTACTCATAACCTACTTAGAGGACTCAGGGGACTTAGGGGGCTTATAAGTACGGTCAGAGTTGGGGTTACAAGTAGGGGGTTCGGTAGGTTGTACGGTTCAGGGTTTAACTCGGGGCTTTGAGCGCCAGGCCCCCAGTCTGCTTCTTCTACGCGGCAACATGCTGAGCAGTTTCATCCTCATACTTCTTCGTATGATGACTATTACCTTAAACCCTAAACCCTAAACCCTATTCTCATTCTGGATATTCATGTCCTCCTTCGCGTTCTTACCATAGACTTTGTTCTCGTCACGGACAATGGGGGGGGAAGTCCAGCTGGAGTCGTGGGCCTAGTTAGGGTTCTGGGTTTAGGTGGGTATCCTGCCGCGGGAATGGTCGTAGCTGACAGACGAAGCATCTTTACCAGAGGTCGACTGTAGGGTCCAGCTTTGAGGGCGTGGGGGCTTTAGGGTCCTGGGCTTTGGGGGTTTAGGCTGCAGAACCCATGCTTTGGGGTCTCCTTTCATTCGGTAAGCTGAACCTGAATAAGCCGTTATAGACCCTAACAGGCGCTAATGTCCCCTAGACGTACTTTCGAAAGTCCCCTATGCTCGGCGTCCTTTGCTGGGAGCCCCGCCTTTTTAGGATCCTAATGTATGCCCTTCCTGGGCCATGATGTGCGTTGATACCAAAGAAGCAGGGCTTGGGTTATAAGGCCGGTGGCCTCTTTATCTGTTACCCTTATACCTCCATGTAGCTTATAAGAACTCCCTATAAAAACAGAAACCCTACTTAAAGAGACCACCAACCCATCTAAGGCTTGGGGGCTTGATCAGGGGGCTTCAGAATTCGGGCCCAGGGCGTCCCTTTTAGGGGGCTCCCTGTCATGGGGATGCTCGAACATTTTTGTGGTATGTAGGTGCCCCTGATGCTGGGGAAACAGCACGTCTTCTTGGGTGTCTTGACCTTCTTGAGGTGACCCTGAACCCTAAATTCTAAATTCTAAACCCTCAACCCTAAACCCCAAACCCCAAACCCTAAACCCTAAACTCTACACCTCAAACCCTAAACCCTAAACCCTAAACCCTAAGCCCTAAACCCCAAACTCTGGGGTGGCCTTTTTAAAAGCCCCACATCGCAGGCCCGGTGGTTCCGAACATTCCTGCGCGGGAGCTTTTGCGGCTCAAGGGCTTCAGGCTTTATCGGTTGCCTTGTGGGTTTAGGGTTTAGGGTTTAGGGTTTAGAGTTTAGGTTTTAGGGTGCGTGGTTCAGGGTTGTGGCTCAGGGCTTGAATAGGGTTCATGTGGCCCTCAAGGAAAGGAAACCGATCCCTTTAAAAAGTACCATGCACAAGGGTGCTACAGGGCATCCATGGCCCTGAGCACCAAACCCTCTGTCAGCCCCCCAAAAAGCAAGGCTGCTGCTGAGCACCCTAAACCCTAAACCTCAAACCCCAAACCTCAAACCCTCCGTTATCCCCCCCAGAGGCCCGTTTTGACAAAACCCCTAAACCCTAAACCCTAAACCCTAAACCCTAAGCCTTGCACCCTAAACCCCAAACCCTCCGTTATCCCCCCCCCCCAGAGGTCCGTTTTGAAAAAGCATCCCGGTAATGGCCACCATGGCCAGGCGGCCGTTGGCCAGCTCGGAGTTGAGCTTCCTGCACAAGGTGCTTTCTGCCAAGCAACTTCAAAGAACTACAAAACCCTAACTTACTTCTCCAATAACCAAGGGAAAAAAGGTTAAAATTTTTTACTCCTACTAAATAAGCAAACCCAAAAAGTTTAAACTTCAGCTGTTGGAGAAGTAAGCTAAGCACAGGGTTGTCGAGCTTGTGGATTTAGGGGGCTTTAGGCTTGGGGGCTTGCCTCTTCCTGCCCTCGGCATCTGCCATGGGCCCGCTGGCGTTAGGCACGCCCAAGATGCCGCCGTTCCTCAGCGTCTCGCGGCTTCGGTGATTTGCGGTATCTACACCCTAAACCCTAAACCCTAAACCCTAAACCCTAAACCCTAAAGGTCTTCGAGGTTTCCGGTGGGAGGCTGGCTTTTGGCACTTCTAACGGCGTCAGGGCAACTAAGCACTAAGGCAGTCTAGGCCTTTTAAAACCCTAAGACGAAGGAGGGAAAGGAAGCCGTCTCAAAAGAGAAACCTAGGACCTGGCATTTCGGGTTTAGGGTTTAGGGTTTAGGGTTTTATAGGGTTTAGGGTTTAAACTAGGCCCTAAACCCTAAACCCTAATGAAGCCCTAAACCCTTACACTCTTTCCCCTCACGCCCATCTGGGCCCGAAAGCCCCACACCCCCACCCCCCCCCCCCCCCCAACAAAAATAAAATAAACAAAACAAAGAGCTGAGCCCCGAAAAAAAAAAAAACAAAAAAAAAACACACACACACACACACACACACAGAAAAGGCCCCCAAGCCCAAACGGCCCCAAAACCGAAGCGACCCGAAAAGCGCTCGCTGGGCACCCCGGCTCGTAGTCACCGGGGGCCCGGGAGGGGTCGGCCCTCGAGGGTTGATAGGGTTTAGGGTTTAGGGTTTAGGGTTTAGGGTTCAGGGTCTTGGCTTCAGGGTTTAAGATTTTGGGGTAGGAAGTTTCCGGGCTTTGAAGTTTTGGTTTAGGGTTGAAAGTTGGAGGCTGAAGGTTTGAGATTGGGAAATCTTCGCTCGAGGGCCGAAGGTTCTTGGGAAAGCTCAGGATGAAGGGCAACAGGTGCAGTTTCCTGTCGTTGCATAAGACTGTTCAGGTCCTGGATCTGAGGGTAGCCCAGTAACCTTACGACAAAAAAGGGCACCCGTTTCGATTAAGGGAACCTTGAACCAAAAAAAACGGGAATAAGGGTACCACTGGGCCACCAAGATCAGTGATCTTGGGGCAGTTTCATGTAGTTTCATGGTCCCATAATCTGGGCCCTTAATCGGAGGGGTGGGGATATAATAAGATATACTGTTAAATAATCTGTATTGGCTTCTTTTATATTATTTTCCATTAATTTATGAATATTTTTATTGTTTAATTTTGCCCCAACTACCCTTCTGCTGTTCGGGGGCCGATATGAAGGGGTCCCATGTCCCAGCAGCAAGCCGGGGTGCAAGTCCACAAGACCCAGAAAAAGAGGAAGTTTGGGGTTTAGGGTTTAGGGTTCAAGGTTCAGGGGGTCTAGGGTTTAGGGTTTAGGGCTTAGGGTTTTAGGGTTTAGGAGTCTAGGGTTTAGGGTTTGAAAAGGTCTGGACACAAGCCATCAGAGGCCGCGGTGATGAACTGCGATGAGTCTCGAAAATGCCATGCCTGGGGACCCTCTCCCCCAAATCCTCAAACCAACCCCGAAACCCTAAGCTCCCGAAGCTCTCAAACCCTGACCCCCCTTCTTGAGCATCCCTAAAAGCCTAAACCCCAAAATCCCCAAACACCCAAACCCTAAAATCCTAAAACCCTAAAGCCCTGAAACCCTAAAACCCTAAAACCTCAAAAGCCCAAACCCTCTTGGGCATCCCGCCTGTAGAGGCCGAAGTCCACCATGCCACAAAAAATTAGGATCTGGATCCAGCCCAGGAAGGGCACCTTCAGCATGCTTTCAGGGTTCAGGGTTCAGGGTTCAGGGTTCAGGGTTTAGGGTTTAGGGTTTAGGGTTTAGGGTTTAGGGTTTAGGGTTTAGGGTTTAGGGTTTAGGGTTGAGGGTTGAGAGTTTAGGGTTTAGGGTTTAGGGTTTAGGGTTGAGAGTTTAGGGTTCGCCAAAGCGGACAAGGCCCGTAGGCATATACTTTGTAGACCAGCCCTGAGCACCAAAAATGAGCACACTCCAAATGGGGTTTACGAGAATAAGGGACTTTTGAGATAGTTCCAAATAATAGGATCCCCTTGTAATAAGGACCCCAATAAGGTACCCCGAATATCGTAAACCCCCAAATCCCAAACCCTGAAACCTCAACTCCAAACCCGAAACCGTGAAACCTCAAGTCCAAAGCCCTTTCCTGCACCCTCAACTACAAACCCTACACCCTCACCTCCAAACCCCAACTTTCTAAGCCGAGGGGGGATGATGAGACCATCAGCTAATCTGCTTTTTGAAAGCTTCATGGAACTTAGTAGGCTTTGGGGCTGAGAGTTTAGGATTGTTCAGTCCTGTTTAGGCTGACTGGTATCTTATCTTATGCAATGGGTGGGAACGGCCTCAGCAGGCCGGGCAGGAGTCGCGGGCTGAAGGGGGGGGGGGAGTGTACTTTCAAGATGTTCACCTAAATGCTGTCTACGCGCATGATGGGGAACGCCTAAACTGTCTTGAGCTTCCTATAAGCCTACCAAAAAACACAAGGGGGTTGGGTCCTTAATATAAGGACACCCTACTATTTGGGGGGACCCTATTAGGGGTCCCCTATTTTCGCAAATCCCCGCATGACTTAAACAGCTTCTGGTGGCACCCTGCCTTGGAGAGAGCCGCGAGGCCGTTGGGGACGTCCGTGAACTTGAGCTGCTGGGATGGCCTGGGCGGTAGCTTCCTGGGTAGGGTTTAGGCTTTCAGGGTTGAGCTTTGAGAGGTTTAGGGTTTAGGGTTTAGGGTTTAGGGTTTAGGGTTTAGGGTTTAGGGTTTAGGGTTTAGGGTTTAGGGTTTAGCGGATTTTGGGGTTTAAGGCAAGTTTAAGCGTTTGAGGTGTAGGGTTTTAGGTTTTAAGTTTTAGGGGTGTTTGGGTTTTAGGGTTTTGGGGTTTTGGGGGTTTGGGGTTTTGGGGTTTTGGGGTTTTGGGGGTTTGGGGTTTTAGGGTCTTTAGGGTTCTAGCTTTCATTTAAGGTGTTCTGAAGGTTTGAGGATCGGGCCTTGAAGCACCAACAAAACCTGAACGCCCTAAACCCTAAACCCTAAACCCTAAACCCTAAACCCTAAACCCTAACAACCCTGCATCTCGACCCTACAAGGAACATCCGGGGCCCGGGCGCCAGGTAGCCGGGGAAGCGGACGTACTCCGGCGTAATGACTTGGCAAAGGCTTTTGGGGTTTGGGGTTTGGGGTTTAGGGTTTAGGGTTTAGGGTTGAGGGTTGAGGGTTGAGGGTTTAGAGTCTAGGGTGGTGGTTGCTAGTGTTTCCGACGTGGCGATGTTGGTGCTAGCGATCCTGTATCGGAATGCGCGGCTTTTAGCATTTAGTGACGGGTTCAGGGTTTAGGGATCGGAGGGGTTTCGGGTATTCCGGGACTTGGGAAGGAGCAAGTGTGCGCCTGCATGTGTTCATGCATCAGACAGACGAAGCCACGCGATACGCACAAAGGGCAACTTCACCAACGATCCGACTTCTTCTCTGTGTGTCGGGGGAGGGGGGCTCCTTGAGTCCTAACCCGCCAAACTCCCTCAACCCCCCGTAAATCTGCCCTGTTAGTTGGGTTTAGGGGCCTGAGTACATAGAACCTACTAAGGAGTGTTTTGCCCACGTTGACGGTTTACTCTTCACAGCGTCAACTACACATGGTGAGTTCTCGAAATTCGGGTCTTTTGGGTACCCTAAATAGGAGGGGCCGCCGTATAATAAAGACCCCCAAACGGAACCATAGTTTGAGAAATCACCATATCAAGAAGTGTAGACTACCAACGCTCAGCCCGCATTGAGACCTCAATTACTAACGTGGGCTCGTGGCAGCCCATGGCCGCGAACATGGCCACGCGCCCGTTCCTCGCGTGGGGTCTGGCATCACGGGGACTCAAAGGCCCGGGTTTAGGGTTTAGGGTGTAGGACTTAGGGTTTAGGGTTTAGGGCCTTCGGGTTTAGGGGTTTTAAGGCCTTCGTGTTTAGGGTTTAGGGCCCTCCGGTTTAGGGTTTAGGGTCAGGGGTCAGCCCCAGGAGTCGGCGTGCAAAGCTGATCCGGCAGAGAGGGTATGGGAGTCAGGGGGGGTCGAGGTGGAGAAGCTGAGGGCGTAGTTTTTGAGGCCTACACAGGGCTAAGGGCGAAGTTCATTGAACTCGGAGGGTTGAGGGCAGAGTTGAGGACGTAGGGACGAGTTCCCTAGTGGTCCAGCATCGAGGGTCTAGCACCCTCGGGAACCGAAACCCCGAACACAAAGATGCAACCCACAAACACATAGGGTTTAGGGTTTAGGGTTTAGGGTTTAGGGTTTAGGGTTTAGGGTTTAGGGTTTAGGGCTTAGGGTTTAGGGGTTTCGGGTTTGGGGTTTCGGGTTTAGGGTACCGAAGTCGCAGAACCTCAAACCCCAAGCACCACAAATCCCGAAGCCCCACACACTAAACCCCCACGCCCTACATCCCTAAGCGTCAAAACCCGAAAGCCTCCCACCAACGCCCGCCGAACCAACTCTCAGCGCCCCGCTTGATTTCGCTCTCCCGGCGGCGGAGGAACCTTGCGAGACATCAACCGGCCCAGCTCAACCTTGAATCCTAGCCCTAAGAACCCGAAACTGGAACCCTAAACCCTAAACCCTGAACCTTAAACCCTCAGCCCTAAACCCTAAACCCTAAACCCTACCTAAACCCCAAACCCTGAGCCCACCTTACGCCGGTTCCTCCTGTTCATCCCGACCCCAAGCCCTTCAAGAAAAGCTGAGTGCCCGGTACCCGAAAGATTCTCACACCCAACGAAGCCCGAAGCCCTAAGCTTACACCCCAACCACTACATCCTCAAAGAAAAGAAGCAGTTGCCACTGCAAACCTACCGCGCAGAAGTTTAAGGTGAGAAGTTGGGGATGCGTCGGTGGCTTGAATGTTTCGCGGGCTGCTGGCCCGTATCCCGCCCGTGGCCAGCAGTGCTACTCCGCAGCAGCTGTGCGTTTGCGCAACCGGGGGGGGGGGGGGGGGGGGGCGGGTATCTGGCGCTGTGAGCATGAGGCCTTCTGCTGCTGTGAGGGAAGAAGAAAAAAAAACTCTAAACCCAAACTCCTAGCAAATAGCGACTACGGCCTGAAGGCTGGCTATGGGGCTGAGGGTGCTAAACCCAATCTGGCAGATGGTTTGGGCCTCAAAGCCCCCATCCACAAGGCCCTAAACCCTTCAGAGCTAGCAGCGCAGCAAGCTAAACCCCAAACCCCAGCACCACCAAGTGCAAGGAATCTCCGGAGTTGAAGGGGGGGCGGAAAAAATGGAAGCCTTGGGGGTGGACGAGAGTTCTTAAACCCCAAGCCCTTAAACCCCAAGCTACAACCCTCGGCCCTGAACCTACATCGTAAAGACGCGGGAGTTCAGGGGCCAAGGGGCGTCTTCTCGTCACCGTCCTTGGACATGCCCATTGGGTCAAAGTAGCCCACAGGGGCCTGCGGCCGAATCTAACGCGTGGTTCAACAAAAGAATGCCCCTTTGGGGGGGGGTCCTTTTTGATGACAGGGGATTCTGTGAGCAAAGCCGTCATCCCGAAACGGAAAAAGAACTCTAAAAGCCTAAACGCTCCCCCATCATCGCTGGGGCCTAGTTGGGGTTTCCGAAATAGGGGTACCCGTTTTGGGGGTCCCTTTAAGGGGAGTCTAGTCAATTGGGGTATAAAAGGGGTACCCCTATTCTGGGAATTGCCCAGTTCAGGACAACCTCCACTCGGGCGGGAGAGCATGAGCACCTCTGCCTTACTTAGAAGTACTTGGAAGCCCTTTTGACTTTGTAAGCAGGAGTAGTAAGGTTGGTGTTTGGGGATTATCATAGGACTTCTGGGGTTACAAAGGGGGTTTAGGGTTTAGGGTTTAGGGTTTTGGATTTTGGGTTTAGGGTTTAGGGTTTAGGGTTTAGGGTTTAGGGTTTAGGGTTCTACTTAGCGCACTTTCTCCAAACTGGGGCCCCCAAGAGGGGTGCCCTTAGTACAGAAACCCCATTTAGAGGTTAGAGTCTGTTGCAAAATTCCTCCTGTTTAAGGTACCAAAACAGCGCATCATTTCAATCAACCCCGTTTTGGGGTTCAGGGATGTAGCCGCGATGGCACAGCCTGCACGCCCAGCTCGTTCTCGAACGCGCGAAGAGGGGAGTCCTTGGCCACGCGTGCTTGATCTGAAGGCGTACCCTAAACCCTAAACCCTAAACCCTAAACCCTACACCCCAAACCCTACACCCCAAACCCTTCCAGGTTTAGGATTCAGGGCGACCCCTCCCCGCTGGACCTTAAACCCTAAACGCTAAACCCTAAACCTCCTCCATCCAACGCTTGGACCACTGAGATGAGGGAATGGAGGAAAAAGCCATGACTTGCTTTAGAAGCCGCCAGTAAGCCTGATGCAAAGTGGGTCCGTTTTGCTGCCTTCCACTGCAGGCCACAGTGAATTCCACAACGCCTGCCTTTCTCAACGCTGTGGAGGTAAACGAGCAAGATGACCAAGATACTGCAGTTGGCGGGCCTCGATAACACGACGTGCAGGGAAGAGACCGCACTTTTGCGCAGGTCTGCCAGCGTGAGCTGGTCCTCAGACATGGTGCATCTCCGCTGTCTGCAAATGGAGAAGCTGACGCGGTTGAGAAAAGCCTGGTAAATCGGAAGCTGCCCGCCAGTAAAAGTACGGCACTCGCACCCGAACAGCAGGGTGTTGACGACAGTGGCATTGACAAATTAGCCTGCACCCTGTTTTGCTTGAGCGTGAGCCCAAGCCGAGGAAGCTGCCTGGATGGTTTGCCACAAATTTTGTGCGCCAACCTTCGGCTCTTTAGGGTTTAGGGTTTAGGGTTTAGGGCTTAGGGTTTAGGGCTTAGGGCTTAGGGCTTAGGGTTTAGGGTTTAGGGTTTAGGGTTTAGGGTTTAGGGTTTAGGGTTTAGGGTTTAGGGTTTAGGGTTTAGGGTTTAGGGTTTAGGGTTTAGGGTTTAGGGTTTAGGGTTTAGGGTTTAGGGTACCAACAACCAAAGAGGTTTTGGGGTTTATGTGGGGTTTGGGCTTGAGGGATCAAAGGGCTGAGAGGGGCTATGAAAGGTTTAGGGCTTAGGGTTTAGGGTTCAGGGTTCAACGTTCCGGGTTTAGGTTGCGCTTGGGATTGATGGCCCAGGGTCCAAGAACCTTTCGTCATGAGTCCCAGCCCTCTGCTACATCCCTGAACCCTAAACCCGAAGCCCTAAACCCTAAACCCTAAACCCCAAACCCGGTCAGCTTTCAACTTTCAGCTTCCAACTGTCAGCCTTCAGCTGTTTAGCCCTCCGTGGGTCATATAGGGGCCTTAATCATTAGAATAGGGCTTAGGGCTTAGGACTTAGGGTTTAGGGTTTAGGCTTTAGGGTTTGGGGCTTAGGGTTTAGGGCTTAGGGCTTAGGGGTTTAGGGTTTAAGAACCAGCGTGCCGAGGACGGGAGATTCTGCTGGAGTGCAGATAAACTGCGATGAGTATTGGTACATCACCCTAAACCACACGGCAGCCCATCCCTGGACCTGCAAGGAAGTGCGCGGTAAGCTGCGGTGTAGGGTTTAGGGTTTAGGGTTTAGGGTTTAGGGCTTAGGGCTTAGGGCTTAGGGCTTAGGGCTTAGGGCTTAGAGTTTAGGGCAAAATGCTGCGCCAGAGTCAGTGTAGGCCGCCCAATCGCCCCAGGCGCTGCCCGTGAGGCCATCCTGATGCGAGCTGCACGTGCTCGGGTGGGGGCTTAGGGTTTAGGGTTTAGGGTTTCGGGCGTTTCGGGTTTTTAGGGTTTTTAGAGTTTTTAGGGTTTTGGGATTTAGGGTTTATAGTATTTAGGGTTTATAGGATTTAGGGTTTATAGGATTTAGGGTTTAGGGATGGGGAGTGTAGTTGTTGCTTGTTCGTCGGTCTCGGGGTCTGGTGCCGATTGACCCGCTTTTTGCCGAACACTGCTTGCCGATGGACCGCTTTTCGCCGAACACGTCAGAGTGTCTAATCACCAGGATCAGAGGCCCTCGCGTTCGGAAAGCCGCTGCTCCAGCACAGCGGCGAGATCACTCGCAGGTCTAGCCATGCCATCTCTGCCTCTGGCCAGTGAGATGAAGGCATGTAGCTGCTGCCAACCCAGCTCATTGGCGAAAGCGTTGTAGCTCTGGCCAGCAGATGGATTCTCCGCCAGTGCTGTAGAAACTCTCATGTCTCTTGGCGAATCTCAACCAGCTGTAGTCCAGTGCCTTAGCATCACGCTCACTTGATTGACCGGGATTTGCCGAACAACGGGTGCCGATTGAACACAAACTGATTAAACGTTTGGATAAATCAAAATATGTTACAAGAAAACATATACGTATGTATATATATATATGTATGTAATTGTATAGGGGGGTGGTGAGGGGGGGGACCCTATAAGGTCTTACGGGTTTAGGGTTCAGGGTTTAGGGATTAGGGTTTAGGGCTTAGGGTTTAGGGTTTAGGGTTTAGGGTTTAGGGTTTAGGGCGCTCGAATTCCTGAGCCGATTGAACGTGACAGCGCATTCAGGGGTTTGGGTTTAGTGTTCATTGTTCATATTTTAGGGTTTAGGGTTTAGCGCTTATAGTTTAGAGCTTAGGGTTTAGGGTTTAGGGGGTAGGGTTTAGGGTCTAGGGTCTAGGGTCTAGGGTTTGGGGTTTGGGGTTTAGGCCTTTGCGCTCAAGGTTTTAGGGTTGAGGGTTTGAAGTGACAGCTCAGAGTTGGGGTCTTCGAAGAGCTCCCGCGTCTTTTGGGCCTCGTACCCCAGCCCCACGGAACAAGCTGTCCAGCCCTGCACCAAGCCCCCTGTTCTTCATAAACCGCGCAAGGACACTGCCATGGTAATGCTCCAGAAGTGATCTATGTTTTCTACGAGGTTTAGGGTCTGGGGTTTAGGGTTTAGGGTTTCGGGTTAGGGTTTAGGGTTTAGGGTTTAGGGTTTAGGGTTTAGGGTTTAGGGTTTAGGGTTTAGGGTTTAGGGTTTAGGGTTTAGGGTTCAGGGTTTAGGGTTTAGGGTTTAGGGCTTAGGGTTTAGGGTTTAGGGTTTAGGGTTTAGGGTTTTTTTTAACTGGAATCGCCTTTTTACGGGCGGAACGTCAGCGTTCTCCAGACGTGCAAAGAACACACAGGGTTTAGGGTTTAGGGTTTAGGGTATAGGGTTTAGGGTTTAGGGTTTAGGGTTTAGGGTTTACGGGTCAGGGTTTAGGGTTTAGGGTTTAGGGTTTAGGGTTTAGGGTTTAGGGTTTAGGGTTTAGGGTTTAGGGTTTAGGGTTTAGGGTTTAGGGTTTAGGGTTTAGGGTTTAGGGTTTAGGGTTTAGGGTTTAGGGTTTAGGGTTTAGGGTTTAGGGTTTAGGGTTTAGGGTTTAGGGTTTAGGGTGTCGCAAGCTGAAGGGACCTGAAAGAAGCTTGAAGCCCTGAACCTGGAGCCCCAGAAGCCGTGGACCTTTCAAACCGGTAGCAGGGCTCTTCGTGCCTATCACGAAACCAGGGTCAAGAAAACCCTAAATCTCGGGGTGAAAATAGAAAGTCCTAGACCCATCAAACCTTACACCCTAAGCCCTCAACCCGTAAACCCTGAAGGCGCAAAAGCCTCAACCTCCTCCCCCGCACCCACTTGAAGCCCGCCTGAAAGAACATGCCGATGATGGCCTTGGGGGGGCTGTTGGGGGGCGATGAGACTTTAATATTAACCCCCAAACCCTAGCCCTAAACCCGAAACCCGAAACCCTAAACCCTCAAACCTCCAGGGGGGCCGAAGAGAGTCTTCGGGTCTAGGGGGGGGGGGGGATCGCTTGACGTGGTGGCACCACGTGCAAAGTTGGGGTGTATGGTTCAGGAGTTTAGGGTTGATGGTTTCGGGTTTAGGGTGACGACAGGTGAGATTCTCGGTGTCTGGGGGGAGTAACTTTTGGGGGCTGGTTTCAAGGTGGTCTACCCGTAAAATCCCAAGCCCCGACCCAACCTTAAAACCGAATCCCAAAAACCTATACCCTCCAAACCCGAAACCCCAAACCCCACAAAGCCCAAATGTTATAAACCCCAAAACCCCGATTAAAAAAAAAAAAAAAAAAAACGCTATGCAACCCAAGCCCCAAAACCTCGACCATAAAATAAAAATAAAAAATCCCTAAACCCAATAAACCAAAAAAATCGAACAACCCTTCAACACAAGCCGAGGAGCCATCATGGCCAGACGTCCGTTCGCCAGCTCAGAGTTCAGCTTTCGGTTGCGGCCTACCGCGGGCTCGAGATCTGCAAAGCGAATCATCCCCACCTTGCCTTGCAACCCTTTCTGCCCTGGGCACCCTTAGCCCTGAGACCGAAAAAACCCAAGGCTAAACCCTGAACCCAAACCCGACGCCCTGAACCCTAAACCCTAAAAAGCCTAAGCCTGATGGGCCCTTTAGGCCCTAGGCCCCCTTGAAGTGTGAGACTTCAGGAGGTCGAGCAGGTCCTTGGGCTTTGGAAACCCAAAACCCTAAACCCTAAACCCTAAACCCTAAACCCTAAACTACCCTAAGCCGTAAACCCTGGAAGCTACCGGCGCCTTCGCCTGGAACCATGGTGCTGCCGTTCGGCACACCCAGGACGCCAGCGGCCTTGTAGTCCTTGGAGGGTTCATGGCACCAAGGGAACCCGTATCTGGTTTAGGGTTTAGGGTTTAGGGCTTAGGGTTTTTAGGGTTTAGGGTTTAGGGCTTAGGGTTTAGGGTTTAGTGTTCTTGTAGTCCTTGGCGGATGAAGGGGACCCAACGGGCCCAATATCGGGTTAGGAGTCTGTCACCGTAAACCCTAGGCCCTCTAAACCCCTAAACCCTCGAACCCTAAACCACGAACCCTGCAGGCACTGAAGGCTCATACACAAAAGGCTACGGCCCCTTGTTAAAACGGTCTGTATGGGAGCAAAATCCCTCCACACCCCACACCCAAACCTAAACATCAGAATCATGTACAAAAGTGCCCACAGCTGCGTAGGGGTTTAATGGGTTCAGGGCTGAGGGCTCAGGACTCCTGCTTTAGAGCAGATGATGACGCCGAGATGCACCCGCCTGTCGGGTGGGGTCGTAGGTGTAGATGCCCTTCTCAATGAGACCCAGGAATAGGAAAATCTGAGTCCAGCCGGCCCCTGGGACCTGTCCGAAGATGCGAGCACTGCGTTGCGCATGGTAGCGTTTTCGGGTTTAGGGGTCGGGGGTACAACTTTGGGCTGCTTTGAAGCATTGAAGTTTAGGGCTGTGGGGGAGAGGGGGGAGGCGGGGGGGGGGGGGGGGGGGGTGGGGGGGGGGGGGGGGGGTGGGGGGGTGGGGGGGGTGGGGGGGGTGGGGGGGGGTGGGGGCTGGGGGGGTGGGGGGCGGGTACTGCACAAGCATAAACCAAATCCTTAACCCTAAGTGTAACCTAAGGCAAGTCAATACTTTAAGCAAACTCTCTCTAAAATAATGATTTCTTCAGCAGCCTCTTCAAACATGAGCTTAAGACCCGAGCGAAAACGCAGTTAGGCCCAGAGTTTAAATCAGCCTCTAGTGTTTCGCGCACCTGCCTGAACAACAAGTTTAGTTGAGAGTGCGCTCTCGCTGTGGTTTCGCGCGTATCCATGCAAAACGCCTCCTTCTGATATCTCCAAAAACGCATGGGCGCGTACAGGCGCCGTAACCTTGTTTTTGTGGCAAGGTCTGAAGTTCAAGACGTTCTGCAACTATGCTTGACGATACATCCCCCTATACATGGTGGAGTGTTGCCCAGTCCCCCCCCTTCCCCCCCAACCCCCACCCGCCCCAAGGAAAGGCATCCCCCGGCCCTTTCTGTAGTTGGGGTGGGGAGGCTAGGGTTAAGGGCTTGGGTTTGGGGGTTGAGGGGCTTTAGGGGGTTTTAGAGTTTTAGGGTCTTAGGCTTTTGGGGCTTCAGGGTTTTTAGGGTCTTAGGGGTAGGTGTTTCGGGAACCTTAGGGCTTGGGGAGCAGTGGGGAGTATTAGAGAACCTTGGGTTACATACCCCCCTTGAACCCCTCCCTGATGGGGTGTTCAGGCTTAGGGCTGTAGCTTTACGAGCTGTTCTGTTGCTCTTTGGGCTGCTGTTTGGGGAGCCCTAAACCCCAAACCCTAGATCGAAAACCCTAAACCCTAAACCCTAAACCCTAAACCCTGGATCCTAAACCTAAACCCTAAACCCTAAACCCGAGCTGAAGGCTTAGCTGCCTGGTTGACAGGCTGAGCAACAAGTGGCGAACGAGCGCAGCCGTGCACACGTGATTAACTTGGCATCACGTAGCTTTCGTTGGCCTAAATTCTATACTATACATTCTGTCTTGAAACTCCCCCCCACCCACCCACCCCCACAAAGTGTTTGTTCGAGGTATACAGGTATCATATTTTGGGCGCAATTTGGCGTCTTCTCATAGCAGAGAGGACCTGTCTTCGCCCTAAACCCTAAACCCTAAACCCTAAACCCTATACCCCAAACCCCAAACCCCAAGCCCCAATAAAATCATGCCTTGGTCAGCGCCGCCAAGCCATTCGGGATCTCCGTGAACTTGAGGCCGGTTGCACAGTCTCCTGCGGCGCGCTTTGCAGAGCGGCACAGAGGGGGGGTTTTGAGGACTTAGGGTTTAGGGGTCTAGGGTTTAGGGTTTAGGGTTTAAGGTTTCGGGTTTAGGCTTTGCTGTGACATAGCGCAGGAGCTGTGAAGGTTGGGATGCAGAGTAGCTTCGAAAGCTTCGTCACATGCGAAAAGCAACTATGGCCCAATGGTGGAGGGCCATCGACAACTGTTTTTCCACCCCACGCCGTCTCAGGCGGTAAACCCTAAATCCTAATCCCTAAGCCCCTAAATCCCCCTAAACAATCAACCCTCAACCCTCAACCCTCAACCCTCAACCCCAAACCCTAAACCCTAAACCCTAAACCCTAAACCCTCAACCCTAAACCCTAAACCCTAAACCCTAAACCCTAGCTTACACTCACCCTCCTCCCGCATTCTCCTTCCAGGGGCTCTGGGGTCCGGCTTCAGATCCCATAACCCTAAACCCTAAACCCTACACCCTAAACCCTAAACTCTAAACCCTTGGGGAGGTTGCGCCAAACCGTGTCTCCAACAGCAAGACCCCCCTCTAAACCCCAGACCCTAAACCCCAAAATCTAAACACAAAAACTCATGCCCTAAGGTGCTTCCCTGACTTGAACCACCCCGAACGAAATCCTAAACCCTAATTAAACCCTAAACCCTAAACCTTCAACCCAAACCATTAGGGGCGAGGGCTTTGGGGCGTCGAGGCCCGCTTGCGATTTCAACAGGAGGCAGAGCCCGGAATCAAGGGTCTAGGGTTTAGGCTTGAGGCTTTAGGGGTTAGGGTTTAGGGCTTGGGGTTTGGGGGTTTAGGGGTTACGGTTTAGGGCATGGGGAAGTGCTTGAAAGAGAACCTGGGTTCTTGACGATTTGGGCCCACATCTTGGGATACCTATTTCAATTTAACTGTCGTTCGGAGCCTTCGCTACTACGCCCAAAACCCTAAACCCTAAACACCCCAACCCCGAAATCGTTCAACCCCAAAAGGATGTCAATGAAATAGATACCTGTTGTAGGGTCAGGGTTGAAGGGTTAGGGCTTCGGGCCTCCTATTCTCTTCATTCAATCGCTAATTGCGCTCTCACCTCGTTCACTAATGCACTTATAACGAGTGTGAAAGGACGCATGAAAACCAAGCGAAGAAAGGGGCCATTAAGAATACTAATTAATTAATTAAAGGCCCTTTTGTTTAGTTTTTTGTGTAGGCCTTTTGTTAATGGGGGTTTCGTTCACTTAAAGGGCAAATTAATATATTCATGCGTGTCCTTATAATATTATGATTAGTTGGACCTTTAATGTTCTCTTCACGTGCTCTCAATCTGTATTAGTGAAGAAAGAAAAGGTGAAGAGAGAACGGATCAGAGGTAAAAGACACCTTAATTTCTATCACATGTTGGCTTACCATTGCTCCCTTGTTTCGTTCTTGCAATAATTAATCTTAAGGGCGCGTATTCGCTTCGCTCTGTGCCCCTTAATAATGATGTTGTATTCTCTTCACGGACGCCCATAATACATTAAGTCAGGAGGTATTATAGCAATGCAATACATAGAACAATACAACCTAAGGCAGCCGTACCTAGACCCCCCGCCCCCACCAAGCACGGTAGTTTAGAGAACCTGAATTCCAAAGCGCACCCAACCACATTGATCCTGGGAAGCGGAAGTACTCCGGGACAATGTATCCTGAGGTGCAAGCATGGGTCAGCTATAAAGCCCAAAAGCCCTCAAGAAGGTAAGCCACTCAACCTGCCCTGAACCTAAAAGAGGGAAGATAGCGAGAAAGGGCACGACGGGGAATCCCGATGTTTGGCGAGAGTTCCGAGTCCGGGAAGTGGGAGCTAGGGTTCGGGATTCATCATCGTAGGGTTCTTCAGGAACAGTAGTAAGTGCCAGTGTTTACTAGGAATTACTGGCGTACCTACACCCTTTAGACCCTGCTCCCGAAAGAACACTGTAAGATCCATCAAACCCGAACTTCGCGCGCCGAAAGGCCCATGGTGGCCAGCATCGCAACGCGGCCGTTCTTCAGCTCCTGGACATCAGGATGCAGAAACAAACACGCAGGCGGGGGTTTCCGAAATTAGGGGTTTAGGGTTTAGCGCTCAGGGTTTAGGGTTTAGGGTTTAGGGCTTAGGGCTTAGGGCTTAGGGCTTAGGGCTTAGGGCTTGGGGCTTGGGGCTTAGGGCTTAGGGCTTAGGGCTTAGGGCTTAGGGCTTAGGGCTTAGGGTTTAGGGTTTAGGGTTTTTTGGGTGTTTTGGGTTTTTTGGGTTTAGGGTTTAGGGGTACCTCATTTGGGGTCCTTATTATAAGGGAATCCTACTATTTTGGGGGTCGATTTTAGTGATCCCTCATTTTCGTAAACCCCTACATGTGTCGAAGAGCTTAGGATGTACGGCATAGGCTTTCCTGGTAGTTCTTCAAAACACCTGCTCCCAAATCACCCTGACGCAGATTCCCTTCTGGTAGGGGTCCCCCTTGAAGGATTTAGGGTGAGGGATTAGGGATTAAGGTTTAGGGTTTCGGTCTAGCCCATGGTCCATTCCTGTAATGGACCTTTCAACAATTCAGAATTTTCTGGACGTCCCAAGCGCCTCAGGCGGAACGCCTGACAGCTTCCATCGGCCAAGCTGCGAAGTGTCCTGGATGGTCAGTCTCTTGTCTGCCTCTTGGAGATTGGTGTGACACTGAAATCGCAGCGCAAAACGTGGGGCACCTTGAAAAGACTTGACCGCAAGGCCGAACACACCATCAAGAGAGGTTTTTCGCGGCATGCCTCCTCAAGGGACATGCCCTTCAGGGAGCCACAGCAGCTCCATGTCAGGCCGAAAAGATTCCGAACTGTGCAACTTGAGAAAGACTCCATCCGAACCACTCTTGCGGAGGAGGCCGTCAACCTGCTCAGAATGCACACAAAGAGTTGCGGAGAACCCTTTGTCTGACAGTCCGCTGGCATCGAGGACAGGCCACTTCAAGTCCACCACACAAGCTTTAGGGCTTTGGGGTTTTGATGTTTAGGTTTGCGGGGTCCAGGATTTAGGATTTAGGATTTAGGGTTTAGGGTTTAGGGTTTAGGGTCTAGGGTTTAGGGACTTACCCTGTCAAGACCTTGGACCACGACGGCCCGCCCTGCCTACAAAACGGAGCTCCAACAGGAAACTCGCCTGAAACCTCCAATGCTGAACCCGGACTTCCAGAGTCGGGGTTGTGGGATTTTGGTGCTTCGGCAGTTTGGGGTTGCGGGGTCTTGGTGTTTAGGGCTTAGGGCTTAGGGGTTCCCAGAGACTCCAATACTCTTGAATTACGGAATATTCCTTGAACCATATAAGGATCCCTTTTATACGTTCAGGAAAAGGCTTTAATTAAGGGGTAATGGAGTCCCTGGTTAGGGATTCCCCCAAAACACGGGACCCAAGCTCCTGGGCAACAAACCCTGGGACACACCCGGAAAAACAAACCCTGGGACACACCCTGAAAAACCTGAAGCAGGAAGCACTTGCCCAGACGACCACCATGCTCGACGTTAATTTTGGTGTACAGGGCTTAAGGTTCAGGGTTCAGGGTCTTCGGCTTTACGGTTTCGGGTCTATAGCTCAGAGTCTAGGTTTTAGGGTTACGGGTTTACAGCTGAGGGTTTATAGTTTAAGGCTTTGAGGCTTAGGGTTTTCTAGAGCACACGCCCCCCCGCTCCGTGGCGCGGCGGCGCTTGAAGGCCTCAACGTCGCCATCCTCAAGCAAGGGCTTTGGGAGTTTAGGGTTTAGGGTTAGGGTTCAGGGTTTAGGGGTTAGGGTTAGGGTTTAGGGTTGGGGGATGAGGTTTAGGGATTCGGGTTTTGGGCTTAGGGCTTAGGGTTGAGGGAATTTAGGGTTTTTTAGAACTGAGAACTGTAGGACTTCGGCCTTTAGGGCTGAGAGTTTGGGGCGAAAACAGGTTCTTGGGGTTTGGGTTTGGGGGCTTCTGAGGCAAAACCTAAACCCTACAAACCCCCAACCCCAAACCCCAAACCCTAAGTTTAGGGGTTGCAGCTGCAGACTTAGGTAGCGTCGAAGGGCTGCAAGCACAAAACCGCAAACCCCGCAGCTTTTCGAGCCGGCTGTTCCGTGTGTGTTATGGTGTTGGCGTGCGCGCGTGTGTGTGTGTGTGTGTGTGTGTGTGTGTGTGGTGTGTGTGTGGTGTGTGTGTGGTGTGTGTGTGTGTGTGTGTGTGGTGTGTGTGTGGTGTGTGTGTGTGTGTTGTGTGTGTGTGTGTTGTGTGTGTGTGTGTGTGTGTGTGTTGTGTGTGTGTGTGTGTGTGTTGTGTGTGTGTGTGAGAGTGTGTGTGAGTGTGTGAGAGTGTGTGAGAGTGTGTGAGAGTGTGTGAGAGTGTGTGAGAGTGTGTGAGAGTGTGTGAGAGTGTGTGAGAGTGTGTGAGAGTGTGTGAGAGTGTGTGAGAGTGTGTGAGAGTGTGTGAGAGTGTGTGAGAGTGTGTGAGAGTGTGTGAGAGTGTGTGTGAGAGTGTGTGAGAGGGTGTGAGAGTGTGTGGAGTGGTGAGAGTGTGAGAGTGTGTGGAGTGTGTGAGAGGTGTGAGAGTGTGTGAGAAGGTGTGATGAGTGATGTGAGTGTGTGAGAGTGTGTGGAGTGTGTGAGAGTGTGTGAGAGTGTTGTGAGAGTGTGTGAGAAGTGCTGTGTGCGAGTGTGGGAGAGTGGGGTGAGAGTGTCGAGACGTGTGTGAGAGTGTGTGAGAGTGTGTGAGAGTGGGTGAGAGTGTGTGAGATTGTGTGAGAGTGTGTAGAGTTTTTGTGGAGAGAAGTGTGTGAGAGTGTGTGGAGGTGTGAGAGTGTGTGCGAGTGTGTGAGAGTGTTGAGAGGGTGTGAGAGTGTGTGAGATGTGTTGTGAGGTTGTGTGAGAGTGTGTGAGAGTGTGGAGGAGTGTGTGAGCGTGTGTGAGGAGTGTGTGAGAGTGTGTGGTGAGAGTGTGTGAGAGTGTGGAGAGTGTGTGAGAGTGTTGAGAGTGGAGGGTGTGGAGTGTGTGAGAGTGTGTGAGAGTGTGTGAGAGTGTGTGAGAGTGTGTGAGAGTGTGTGAGAGTGTGTGAGAGTGTGTGAGAGTGTGTGTGTGTGTGAGTGTGAGTGTGAGAGTGTGAGAGTGTGAGAGTGTGAGAGTGTGAGAGTGTGAGAGTGTGAGAGTGTGAGAGTGTGAGAGTGTGAGAGTGTGAGAGTGTGAGAGTGTGAGAGTGTGAGAGTGTGAGAGTGTGTGAGTGTGAGAGTGTGAGAGTGTGAGAGTGTGAGAGTGTGAGAGTGTGAGAGTGTGAGAGTGTGAGAGTGTGAGAGTGTGAGAGTGTGAGAGTGTGAGAGTGTGAGAGTGTGAGAGTGTGAGAGTGTGAGAGTGTGTGAGTGTGAGAGTGTGAGAGTGTGAGAGTGTGAGAGTGTGAGAGTGTGAGAGTGTGAGAGTGTGAGAGTGTGAGAGTGTGAGAGTGTGAGAGTGTGAGAGTGTGTGAGAGTGTGTGAGAGTGTGTGAGAGTGTGTGAGAGTGTGTGAGAGTGTGTGAGAGTGTGTGAGAGTGTGTGAGAGTGTGTGAGAGTGTGTGAGAGTGTGTGAGAGTGTGTGAGTGTGTGTGTGTGTGAGTGAGTGTGAGTGAGTGTGAGTGTGTGTGTTAGTGTGAGTGTGTGTGTTAGTGTGAGTGTGTGTGTTAGTGTGAGAGTGTGTGTGAGTGTGAGAGTGTGTGTGAGTGTGAGAGTGTGTGTGAGTGTGAGAGTGTGTGTGAGTGTGAGAGTGTGTGTGAGTGTGAGAGTGTGAGTGAGTGTGAGAGTGTGAGAGTGTGAGAGTGTGAGAGTGTGAGAGTGTGAGAGTGTGAGAGTGTGAGAGTGTGAGAGTGTGAGAGTGTGAGAGTGTGAGAGTGGAGAGTGTGATGAGAGTGTGAGAGTGTGAGAGTGTGAGAGTGTGTGTGTGAGAGTGTGAGAGAGTGTGAGAGTGTGAGAGTGTGAGAGTGTGAGAGTGTGAGAGTGTGAGAGTGTGAGAGGTGAGAGTGTGAGAGTGTGAGAGTGTGAGAGTGTGAGAGTGTGTGTGCGAGAGAGTGTGTGTGTGAGAGAGTGTGTGTGTGAGAGTGTGAGAGTGTGAGAGTGTGAGAGTGTGAGAGTGTGAGAGTGTGAGAGTGTGAGAGTGTGAGAGTGTGAGAGTGTGAGAGTGTGAGAGTGTGAGAGTGTGAGAGTGTGAGAGTGTGAGATTGTGAGTGTGTGTGTGTGAGAGTGTGAGTGTGAGTGTGAGTGTGAGTGTGTGTGTGTGTGTGTCACTTGTTGTTTCTTGGCGGGGAATAAGGGAATTAGGAACCTCTGAAGCCCTGAGAGATAGCTTTTACTTCTTAATTCCGTACTAAGAGGCCGTAAAGCTCGGTTGCCGACAGGATTGGAGGAAACAATCAGCATCAAAAGAATGCCAGAACGTTCGCCCTCTCGTGCTCAAGATTAGGCGAAGAACGCTACTGAATGAGATCAGCTGGCATTCCTGCCGAACTTGCTCTTACCGATGTTCTCAGTTCTCCCTGCGCAGCTTACTTCTCAAACTATCCCGATCCTTCCAGCGTAGATGTTGCCGAAGACGCCTAAAGTAAACCCCTGAACCGCGTACACCACCGGGACAAAACCCTACTAAACCCTGACTTATGCCCTGACTAAACCCAAAAGAGAAGCAGGGAGAGGGAGAGGGAAAGGGAAGAGGGAGAGCGAGGGTGAGAGCGAGAGAGAGAGAGTGAGTGAGTGAGTGAGAAAGGAAAACAAAAAAACCAGCATCCTTTGCTCTGCGCACCTTGGTGAGGCCAAAGGGGTCAAAGAAGCCAAGCGGAGCCTCTGGGGGGATGTCGGGGCTGCTCGAGGGTCCGAGGCCGAGGGTTCAGTGTTCCTTTGGGGATGCTTATTTCTGCGCGGCGTTTTTGCAAGGGAGCCTGAACCCAACAAAAAAGGCAGGGGTGGGGAATCCCGATTAAGGACTGCAAGTAAAGGGGGGACATCCCAATTTATATTCTACGGTTGTAAGGGTTCATGGCCTGAACGCCAAGCTCGTTCTCGAACGCACGGAGCGGGGAGGCGGTGTAGTTGGCCCAGTCACCCCAGGCGCTTCCGGTCAGACCATCCTATTTCGCAAACTTCAGATCACAAGCAGAAAGAAAAATGTCAACGCACGTGCACACATCAATCAGCAACTCACATGACACGTGGGCACACACATGATACGTGCGAAAACCTCACCTGGAAGAACATTCCGATGATGGCCATCATTGCCAACCTTCCGTTCGCCAACTCCGCCGAAAGTTTTTTGGTCTTCTCAGCTGGGTCGCTGGAGGTCAAGACCTTGAAGCCGAAGTCGCCCACTGCGGCTGCGGTGCCAGCCGACTGATCCTGGGAAACCTCGCAGAATGCCATGTAGGCAAGGATCTGTCCCCAACCTGCGGCAGGAACTTTCGAGATCGCTGCAAGACCATTTGGCACGTCAGCGAACTTCAACCCGGCCGACGGAGAAAGGTATCCCGGGAACTTGCCAGTGATCCTCACATGCGCAAACCAACGTTTCGTTGCAGCAACAAAGTCGCTCACGAGACTACACTAACCACATCAAACAACGGCATCACGCGTTCACACAAGGAACGCAAACTAAAGAATGATCAGATAGCACATCGCCTCTTCCTAGCATTTCCTCACCCATCAACACTGCAGCTCTTCAAGCAAAGTTGCTCCGGAGTGATGTAGCCCATTGCCGCGAGCATCGCCTAGGCTTTGAGAACACACCAACGTACAACAGCACCAATC